AGGCACAGACAAACACCAGTCGTCAGCAGCAGCAGCAAAAGGAGAATGTGCCAGTGCAGCAGATGCAGGCGAAGCAGCAAGCGATGAGCAGTACGTGCAGCAGTGCCTCCTCTTACTCCCGATAGCCGTTGTCACCGCCGCATTGTTTATTGTTGCTTTACTCGGCCCACCAACTGTTGCTGCTGCTTCTGCTGCTGCTGCTGCTGCTGCTGCTGCAGAGTTGCTGCAGCGAAGCATACTGCTGCAGCAAACCTCCAGCAGATGTTCACCGCCTGTGAGTGGAAACGAAAACTCAGCAAGCAGCAACAAGGCCACCGCAGAGACCCCCGCAGGCAGCAGCGCACGGAGCAGCAGCAACAGCAGCAGCAGCAACAACAAAAGCAGTAGCAACGGCAACAGCAGCAACGGCAGCAACAACAACAACAGCAGCACGAGCAGCATCAACAGGAGCTGCAGCCAATCTTCAATCAGCAACGGCCCCCCTGCCACTGGCAGCAGCAGCAGCAGCGGCAGCAGCAGCAGCAGCGCCGGCAGCGCAGCGGATAGGGACAAGCAGGCGGCGGAGGCCTTCGTACGAAAGCTGCGAGAGCTTTTGGAGCTTCCAGCTGTCCGTACACCTGAGTGTTGCTGCCGCCATTGCTGATGCTTGTGTATATGCTTGTGCTGCGGGCTGGAGATGCTGATGTTGTTCGTGCTGCTGCTGCTGCTGCTGCTGCTGCTGCTGCTGCTGCTTTTCTCGGCGCTGACTTAGGTAAACAACTGCTGCNGCTGCTGCTGCTGCTGCTGCTGCTGCTGCTGCTGCTTTTCTCGGCGCTGACTTAGGTAAACAACTGCTGCCCAGGGTGTATCTGCAGGGTAACAACAAGGACATGGCTCTGGCGATCCAGCTGTCTCTCACCAAGCGCATGCGTTTTGACTCCACCCCGCATCTGGCGCAGCAGGCCAAGGACCTCCACACACAGCTGTTCCTACACCCCAATGCAGTGAGTCCCCTCCCCTGCTGCTGCTGCTGCTACTGCTGCTGCTGCTGCTGTGCTGTGCAGGGTGATCACGCGTTTCTTGGGTAAGAACTCCCAACAGTGTTGCGGTATTGCTGCTGCTGCTGCTGCCTCTGCTGCTGCTGCTGCTGCTGCTGCTGTGTATGCAGGAATTAGCACTGCTGGCCTTCAAGAACTACCGCTATCTCCACCATATCGCTACAGTTACAACGCGGAGTGTCCAGAAACAGAAGCAGCAGCAACAACAACCACGGGGTGTCGCAGTGCCGGGGCAGCCCGCAACCACTGCAGCAGCAGCAGCAGCAGCAGCAGCAGTGCCAAAGGTGCGCGGCAGCAGCCTTACACCTGACAAGCCAGAGACACCAGCAGCAGCAGCGGCCGCGGTGGCAGCAGCTGCAGCAGCTGGAGCTGCTGCCGAACAGCGGCAGCAACCGCAGACACCTCTTCTGGACTCAGCAGCAGATGTGCGGCGGGCGCTACGGGAGATGAAGAAGCCAAAGCTTGTTGCTTCAACCCTAAGCGCCCTGAAACAAACACAGAAGGCTGGCGAGGCCCTGCAGCTCTCAGCAGAGAGGCAGCAGAAACGGCTCGCCAAGGAACAGCAGCAAAACGAAAGAGCAGCAAAGATGCAACGTGCAGCTTCACAGATGTCCCCTGCTGCTGCTGCTGCGAAGGCTGCAGCAACCGAAGCAGAAAAAAGAGAAATCCTGGAGAAAATGCTTCAACTCAAGTCCTCCGTAGCCGATATTGTCGATGAGGTAACTCATATCGAGTGCGGGTGCTGCTGCTGCTGCTGCGGACGTTGAGGGTTTGGGGTTTAGGGTTTAGGGTTTTGGCGACTTATCTTGCAGCTTATGTTGCTGCTGCAGTGGGTGTTTCGGGCGCTTTTCGGGACAGTGAATGAATGCAACTTTGAGGGTGGTGTATGTGATAGAACCATCGTACAGAGGTTTGCGTGGAAAGATCTTTTAGGGTTTAGGGTTTAGGGTTTAGGGTTTAAGGATTGCGGGGTCTTCTCAGGAAGACGGCCAGCGCCATCTGGAGCGCCTTCGCTCACTGGAGGCCTCTGACATTAAACATGAATTCAAGCAGTCCATCAAGGAGACAACAGTTACAGCTTTCTTCTGCCTTCAGGTAGCTTTCTTCTTGTGTGTTTGTCCCTCGGGCCTTGTACTTGCATTGGGGTGTGGTTTAGGGTTTAGGGTTTATGGTTTATGATCTAGGGTTTGTGGCTGTGTGCCTCAGTGCGAGAGGTACACTGACCGGCTGAATGCTGCATGCGTCGCTCGCAACCATCAGCAGCAGCCACGCAAGGCGACGAAGCGTTTCGTCCAGTGCGGGGGTTGTGGCCACAAGCCAATTCCAACACTTAACAACCAGCTCCCCGACGGCTGCCCGAAGTAGGTTTAGACGCAGGGTTTAGGGTTTTAGGGATTTAGGGTTTTAGTCCTAGCGCTCCACTGCTGCATAGCTCTTAGGGTTTAGCGTTGACGACCGGGAGCAACGGCTTTCCCGAAGGTTTCGCCGAGATACTGCAGCGACAGAGGCTGCACAGGGGGGATGGAAAAGTGAGGTGAACATACACCTGGTGGGTGCTGATGTGTGTTGGATCCTGCGCAGGTGTCGAGTAGCCTCACAACATCTCAGTTTCCGTGTAATCTCCCTGTACGCTCCGAGAGCAGAGAAACTTCTGGATCAGGAAAAGCTATCTATCGAGTGGGTTCAGCAGCATTAGAAGTGGCATCTTATCCTTTTGCTGTAAGAGCCCTTAGCGCCGGGGGTTTATACTTTCTGCTTTTTTTGTGTGTTTGCACTGCAGCGGCACCGAAGTAGCCCCCTTCAAGAAGCAGCAGCAACAGCAGCAGCAGCAACGTGCAGACGACGGTTCAGGGGACGAAGGCTTCTTCGACCATCCAGACCTTCCCACTGTTTCCTGAATACAGGAAGCATCGTACACCCGAAGTTGAATAGCAGGCTCTAGGCATATCTGCAGCCGCTACCACGAACCTCTTTAGCACCGACTGGGGTGCACTCCTACAGGGTTTTTCGTAGCTGTAGAGAAGGACCAGTCCATCTTAGAGGTCCACGCTATGATACGCATTTGCTTCTTCGTGTGGTTGAGCGCACTGGCGCCTACAGGTACATCGCGGAGAATGCACTGTATAGAACTGTATATACACCTAGCTACTGTATCCTCTTGAAGCCACGCTGACTGGTTGCTAGATGAGCATTTCGAGGTGGCGGGCAGGACTCAATTTCGCTGATTGTTTGTCTTAACCCAAAGTGACGGAACCCTGAAGTTCAAAACCCTAAGCCTGGCTAGCGGGCTAGCTGCATACGCGTCTGCTAGCTGCTCATACATTAGAAAGCCACTCTAGATATTTAAGCCCCGGTGTTCAGCTCGGAATAAAGGGAGGAATATATGCTGCTGAAGTCGCCTTCACCAAGGAAGCAGCATTCGTACAGGCAAACGCAGCAAATGCTCCCAGTGTTCTAACTATTCTAAGGTATGGAGTTATGAAACCCTCTACTATATATAGTTGCTCTTCTCTGTCTCGAGAAGCAGCAAGCCGAAAGGATCTAGGTGAACTGCGGTAAGCTGGCCACGAGTGGAAGATACGTTTTGCAAAGCTACTCATTGGGGAGGAGTGTTGTCTTCCCCCATTTACTCTACCCGTAGCGAAATATACACTGCGTTCCCCAACGGGCAAATATGTTCAGTTTTGGGGGGTAAACAAACAGCGCGAAATTCGCCTACTAGTCAGGTTGCGACTGCTTCATGTGCAATGCATCCTTCCACGAGACATGCTCAATCGAGACAGAGCAGAAGACAGTTATTGCCACTCACGTGCCTTTAAGCGCCGTAAGCAGTTCATTTTTATCTTCTGTCTCCTCTCCTAGTCCTGATTTTGAAGTGTTTCCCCTCCCGGACACACGAAGCACCTTTCCATCATCACCTCCAAATGAATTCGCATTTCTCTCGAATCACCTTAAATAAGCCTTTTGCAGAATTGCAAATTCTCATAGATAACAAACCAACAGCTTTTCCAACGTCTTTCCATTACAAACACGTTTCAGAGACCTGCCGGCTAGCCTATTCTGCCTACCAAGAGAAACAGGCTTTGGGTTTCTGCGCTGCATTGATCGAGCATATTCTTCTTGAGTTTGCTTCTTTCTTTCTTTATCTATGGTGCATTGACTTTCGATAATGTTCTCTGTATTAGAAGCGCACCAATTCAACTGAGAATTATCTATTGTAATTCCAATCACTCGAGCGTCTTGAACAGCCCTGTGGAATCACCCAGCGTAGTAACTCGATATAAACCGCCGTTGCTCGAGTTTTGAAAAGTTCATGTCAGCCTACGTCTGTTGTCTGTAATTATCTACTAAAACAGTGGAACCCTGACTCGGTGACAACACTGCCTGCCGTTTCCAGATGCAAGGTCTCCTGAGTATAGGCGTCTTTGGTCTCCTGTTCAAGGCGCTCCCACCCTTACAGTAAAACCACATCTCCCCTTTGCTGCGCTACCAGGAACGAGAGGACGGACGAAGCAGCCTTTAACAACTGCCGAATCTTTAGCAGCTCAAGGCAACAGGGGGGAAACGACAAAGAACATCGCAGCACTCCAGCCGTACATTCCCTGGTTTTATCCACAAACGTTTGGGATGCTTTCCAGGTTGAACGTAACAGTATGTTTCAGTCTGCAATATGCAGACATATTCTGTATATTGTGTCATTCGTGATCGCTAGATGTTTCATGCTGTCTCTGAGGTGTATACGTGAATCCCTAGTTAGGCGCAGGCTGGCTACGAAGGGCCAAGTAAGCGTGTAACAATTGCACCCTAGTGTTAGTGCACGCAACAAAGAAGGCCTAAGTATGCTTGCATATTTTCTGGCCGTACAGCAAGAGTTGTAACAAAATGTCTTGCAAGTCTACGCACGCTGCCTGCTTTCTACACCAGCACAGGCCTCCGTGCCGCTGTGCAAAGGGCGCCTGGAGACTAGAAAGGAGGCCAGCTGCTTTCGAAAAATTCTCATCCGAAGTATATTGACTCCTTCGTAGCTAACACCTGTCCGCAGCGAATTTCGAAGCTTCTGATTACACTTCGTAGCACCGCGTAGTTAAGAGGGGCAGGAGCGGGCAGCGAAAGCCACGCTTACAGCTGGACGGCCTGGTTTATAGCACTGTTTACCCGTGAAAGCGGTTTGCAGAAACCCAGGGGAAACTGTCATGAATATGTTCTCCATAAAATCTTTCGCAGGCGTGAAGCGGCTGAACTCCCCCAGATGGTGGAGTGCTTGCGTATCAGAGAGAAAACACAGCACTTCCACCGTTAAAGGTGATATTCAAGAAACAGGTTTCGAAGTGATTCAGATGGACAGCTTAAGAATATTGTGGCTGCGAATGCCACAAGAGCACAGGAAATGATAAAAAGCTATATCCAACAGGAACCAGCAAGTGCGGCGCCCTGGAAGCCAGAGGGGCGTTCCGAGCGGCGCACAAGTTTCCTCCGCAATAGGCACAATCACGTAGTTCCTTGTTTCCGACGGATGAAAATGCCTAAAGAACTAGAGTTGGAAGACTTACAGCAGCGCCGTCGGGAAAACAAACAGACGGGTCAGCGAATCGCCCAAATTGATGGGGCGAAAGCTCCACGTGGAGGTCGGTCTCGACTCAACTCTGTGTTTATTCAAGTTACTAATAGTGATCAGTTGTTGCCAGCGCTGTTCGACTCTGGTTACCAAGTGGATTGGATATCTGAACGTACGGCAAGGAGGTGCAGCCTATTGTTTTACTTGTTAACGCAGTCTTTGTCGTTGCATTTCGCTGCCGGAACAAAGGATACTAGAGTCGATGTGGGCGTAAAATGCTAGCGTAATTAAGACGTGGGTCATAGTACCATTATACGCGAATTCCAATTCGGACCAGTTCACAACGAGATCATCATCCGCAATGCTGTGGTTAACCCAGTGGGGGGCGCGTCTGCGGCTCCCGGACGATGTTCTTCAGTCTATCTGCAAGGAAGCAATATAAGAGGTCACCTCTCATCGCAACAAAGGACAGCTGCATCCTCTACGGTAAGAATTGTGGAAGCACTCTTTCAAGCGAAAAGGAGGGCGGAGACTCCTGCGCAGCGCAGAAGCACTGCAGGTATCGACGGGGAAATGCATGCAATACGTCGTGATGATCTTATGAGGATCGCTGTTGCAGGTGGCTTGACCTAGTTAACACATGAGGAACAACAGAACTGAGCATAATTGAAGGAAGAATTCCCAGATGTACTGAACAACAAGGGCCTGCCGCCGGCCCGGCCACCTGGTGGAGGGTCAACGCGCCGCATCGACCTCATTCCCTGACAAGCCTCAAGCTTTGGTCCAAGGTATCCAAGGGGAAATCGAGCGGCAGACCGACAAAATGGTAAGAAGGGTAAGGTTTAGCGGGCAACTCACGCGTTTAGAGACAATCCGATGCTGGGAAAGAGAAAAGACGGGAAGGAGCGAGTGTCCTACGGTTGCAAGTCCCTCGAGAAGCATATGCTGAAAAGAAAGCCTTTCGATGCCTCAGATCGGACTTTGCCTTTTGCATGATCTAGCAGTGTACTTGTCATTTGACTTCTCTGATGCGCTTCATCAATTCCACTACACATGGCAACGACGGGGGTCAAAGGTTCAGCAGGGGAGCCGCCGAACCCTGAAGTTTCTGAGGATCGAAGTTGCACCCTATTGTATTGATATAACAGTAAGAGTCTTCCCCCGTGACAAGAGTAGGAGCACCTACCGCTGTAGAATCAAGGTGAATGGAATCGATGCGCACCAGCGGCGCATTCTAGCATAGAGTGGAGCACCAGATCGACAGGTCCAATAGAATACGAAGGGATCTCAATGATAATGCCCCGTAACCTTAAAGGAGTAAATGATGTGCTGGGTTTTGGTTCGGGCTATGTTGGTCATTCAGGGGGAGAATATATCTCCGAGACTGTCCTGGGGGTTCCCTTATGGCAGTAGCCCGGGCTCGTCCCGCCAGCACTGGAGGGAATGCTTGCGCCGCTCTCCGGCTAGGCCTACACCATTTCATGGTCCAGCTACTTTACTCGTATATGCGCTGCTCATCCTACTACACTCGTATGAAACGATTACTTGACCCTTGCTCCTAGGATGCTTATGGTAACCGTTGATTACCTATTATGTGACCGGCCTAGCCGGAACTGACATTGTAGTGTCAGGCGCTATAAGAGGACTGCGGTCCGTACCCGTTCTTGCAGACTCAGGTACACCTATGTGCCCCTTGGTCTCGTGAATGCACGTGGGAAACTGTAGCGGCAGATAAAAAGGAGATTGCTGTGACCGTTCAATGAGGGACTTAAGTGGTGATAGAACCAGGTCCGGCAAAAATTGGAGCCATTCAGATATGGCATCTACCCCTCTGTACTTGAACGGGTGTTCAGAAGCTTCTCTTTCTCGCATCATACCATCATACTATCTCAATCTAGTCCTGGTAGTACTACATAAACCCTTGGTGAGTCGCACCCAAGCCGGCTGGGGACTCTAGATGGGCCGGATGCCTTTAATAACTAAAATACCAAGAATTTTGACTCTATTGCACTTCAATATGTCTCAATATGGCCGTCAAATTCGGTGCAGCTCTGTCGGTACTCTCGCCTCGAGCTCGAAGTGCGCAGCACATTCATTGTTTTGCAAGGGTGGGAACGTGCTTATGCTACACCTGGAATTATATTCTCTACAGACTGACATGCCCGTAGTTTAAATAACACGCTTAGGTGTGGTGTCAATGACAATCTTAACGCTAGATGCCTTCAGAAGGCAGCAAGGGGTAGCTACAGTTAGCGGGACGAAGACAGCGGTTGAGATCTCCAACCTCACCAGTTCCCAGCGCTTTAATTAAGAGCACGAAATTTCAAGGACATCCAAATTGCACGATTTGCGCAGTGCCGCAGTTGAATCGTTGTGTTATTCAAAAGGAGAGGGAAATGATTGTGTCTGATTCGGGGCTGGACCGGAATCGTACGGATCACGACCAGGGTTCGTCCCATCTTGGCCATTCAAACTCTGAAAAAGCGGACCAGAATGATTTTACCTTTTCTTTCAGAAATATATTGAAGGAAAAGGCTAAGGCACAACCATTAGGTTGGTGGGGCGCCATCGAGTGTCCAGCCGCTCTGGAAGGGCACTCTAAGTTGCAAATCTGCATCAGAAACGATGAAGTCGCTACCGAGCTTACTTTTTCCCTTGCTTGCCTTCATTTCTGAAGATGTGATGGCTGCTGTTAGCGTCCAGCCTTCCAATCCAGTGGAAGTTACGGGAGAAGAAGTCTCCGCCGTGAAACCAGTATACTGGGATTCTCCCATACCAGGGGCACCAGTGCCGGATCTCCCGCCCATGGGAGTGCAAACTGCAGATACGAAACAGGATGCTGCTCCTACACAGGAACCTTCATTGAAGCCCTGGAGTACCTTCCAGCTTCGAGTTCGAAGGAAACCTGCGGCGGTCAAGCTCTTCCTCTCTGTAGGAGCCATACTGGCCCTTATTCTCATGGTTTACTACTGGAACTCCCGAGGCGAAGTACGTTCCAGATTTTCGAGTTGAATGTTCTCCAGCATTGCGTGCAGGAGCATGATTGGCATGGGGCTATGTGGCTTGCCAGTCCTGTATGGGAAGCGTTCCCCATTCGATTCGCATATACCTCAGTAAGGGCTGTGGCTAGCAACATGTATTAGGGCTTCACAGAAAAGTGCCAGCAGAGAACAATTTACATGCACGCCGCTCCTGTATTTCTGATCGCAACCCATGTATACGCTGCATCTAGGCATAATTATTTGCTGCCTGCCTTTTTACGCTTGTCACTCTTATGAGCACGTGCCTTTGAGAGCGGCTTGATACGAAAGCTGCGGATAGTTGGTGACTTCTTTGACGCGGTTGCACTCAAATGGCTGTCCTGTTGCTACAGTATTCGGGCATTATTGTATGTTTCTTTCGATAGCTGGAAGAGGGTGTCGTGTACCGGTGTCCGCCACAACTCACGGATTCGAATTGTGATCGAGACGAATCATACCAGCTTTTCTTCCCAATACGCATTGAAGGCCGTCACAAGTGGACTGACTTTGGATAGATGCAGCGCTGAGTACTATTCCAGTTAATTTCCAGTCAGTGCTTACTGCAGGTGTGCATAAGGCGAAGGCATATCGATACAGAGCGTGCGTTCACCGACAGTTTGTAAATGGAAAGGTCTCTTTCCACTATTTTATGGCGACCCAAAGCGATTCGTGCGGACATTGAATGCAGGCCCAGCTTGTCAAAGTGTTGGCGTTGCATGGTGGTAGGTATTTGACCTGTCGGCGCCTGAGCATATGGTTATAATCCCCCAACTTTTGCATCTATATATGTCTTGTGCTTATGGTTTGGACGTGAGATTTTGGATAGCTCTCTGATAGGCTTCAAAAGGGCTACCGCCATCCCGTGGCATGCACAGGGCGGCGCTTGTTTGGACTGCATTGAAAATTATGAGGCGCAACATGGGCTCTCCAAACTCGTTCTTTTCAAAATCCGTGGTCGGTCCTCACGGGAGCAAGAAGCATCGTCTGGCTCGCGCGCCTAAGGATGAATTGAGAGGCAGCCAGAAGCACTAAATAGGCGGAGGTTCGGATACCGAACGGCCACTTTGTGTTGCATGAGCAGGCGAAATGTTAACGCTGAGTAGCTAAGAACGATGCATGGTACCTAACGCTAAATATCTGATCAGCTCTAATATCAAGACGCTGAAAATGAACTGCATAAGCATGCATCGAATTCCTAGGCTTGCCATCTGCCTTGTGCGTGTTTGACTGCTATGGGCACTAACGGGCTTTCTGGTGCTGCGGGTTTGCCACTCTCACACTCGCCCTCTTGGTGAACTGTTCGGAGGCAGGGATTACTTTTTGTCAAGTGTCGACCGTGGATGCTTGCTGCTGACTGAACATGAGGGTGCTACAATGGGTAGAAGAGTGAAGTTGACGATACCTGGCCGACAGACTTCCGTGTTTATGAGGCGAGCTAATGAGCCCACGGGTCTTGCGCAAATGTAAAGCCAATACGGGAAAGGCGTGTTTGATGTGGCTTAAATAGTTTTTCTGTAACGTTGCGGCTTCGGCACTAACGGGTTCGATCGTCGGTGTAAGCAGAGCTGGTTCATGCGTACACACAGGTGTAGATCCACGCAGAGCTGGCGCTACCTCCTACAGTAGCTCCAGCGCGACTGCGCGACTGAAGGGGTTGTGCCAAGGAGGATCCAAACGGCGCTCACTAAAGTTGCAGTGGTCGGTAAACTGTGGGCGAACTTGTGCCTAAGGGAAAGGATGTGCGTCCGCGCAGAGGTACTTTAGCGAACGAGGCATGTGCGTCGGCACTGTTCATGTTAGAGCAGGAGACGGCTCCATGCCGGTACGAAAGCTTGTCATGGCTGGATGTACAGGAAGTGCGTCGGCACTAGCTGCAAGATGAAGATGGTCTTGTTTAGTACGGTAGAGCGTCACTCGGTGAAGCCCAGATGGGACTGGCACAAGCCGTGGCGTATGCATGGCTCTATTT